GAAATGGTATGGGATTCCTTCAGATGGCTTCAGCCTGTCATGCTTTTGTTAGTACAGTTTTCACCTTATTTCTAATTTCACTCTTTACTCCCTCTTCTCGAAAGGGAATAATTGGGAACACTAAATAACTGGATGATGATATATACTTGCAGTGTTATGCCAAGAAGAAGTATGGTTTGATTGTGTCAGCATTTTAGAGTCTGAATCTGATGATGACTTCAGTAGTGTTTGTGGAGGTATGGAATTAATTTCTTCATCTCAATCATACAATGGTGACTTCAAATGAGCTATATCTCTTGGTGCTTATATTTTCTGTAGATTGTCTTTCCTCAATAAATGGTTCGATTGGGACCCAAATGCTGCAATATGAAAATGCTTCACTCTTAGTGGATGCTGTATGCAAGTTTGAGGAACTTCTTGATCCCACCCCAATTGCTTTGGCAGTTGAACAACACATTGAAACAGATGAGGGCAAAACTGGAAAGCTTTTGAGCAATGATGAATGTGAAGATGCAGATAGACTTGAGATTGTAAATCCACAAGGGTCTGATATTCTGTTGGAAAAGGTTGATGAAGCAAAACTTAGAAACCAGACCGAAAGTTGTACCAAAATGAAAAAGGTCTTAGAGGATATCTGCGGTAGCTTTAAAGGTTTAAAGGAAATAAGACATGACACAGAGGAAAATTTTCGTGACAGCACATTGAAGCAATTGTCTTCATCATGTGCACCTCATTTAGTTCCTTCCATCAGCTTTAACGATAAAATTCAACAATTTCCTACTACTAGCCCACAATGTCAAAAGAGGAGGTCAGCAGTGATCAGGGTTTCAGTTAAGCGAAAATCCAAAGATGGAGATGAAACTACTGAATTTTGTAAGTAAACTTATTTTGTCTCTTTTTGTTCATTTGATTTTATTATTAAATCTTACTATTATTACTGGCTAATATTCAAGCTGATCAAAATGCTGCAGCTACTTTACTGCATAATGATCATGGAATTTCTTTTGGCAGATAAATCACATGTTGAATACCTTCATTCCTATGGAACTGTCTGATTGCCAATATGAAACTGCCTGTACACTGTCTATTCTTATGTTGCTATTTAGTTTCCCATGGTTGTCAAGATATCTAGTGTCAGAGTAAGGACCTATGCTTCATGAGTTTTCCTTTTGATGCATGAGAACAGGATTGCTCCCTGCATTCCTAGAAACCTCTGCGCTACTCATCTTTTTTTCATCTAATCTTGTCACCTATCATAGTATCTTATAGACACATGTAGATGTATGGATATATCAACTTAGGATTTTTAATCTAATTTGATGTCTTAAGGCTGAAGTTTGTAATCTCTGTCTTTAAGTGACAACAGTTTACGACATGGATCATTTATTTTATGCAAGTTAACTAGACCTTCTGTTGAGAGTTCTATATATAATTTGTCCGCATCAGTCTGCTTCTTAAATCACTTCTTTGCATTAAGTTCCTATTTTTCTGTTCTCAAGTAATATAAATGTAGCTGCACTAAATATAGCTCATTACAGTATACACAACATCCTTCTTCAAGATTATACTTCACTGTTCATTGTGTTTGTGACAATTCTGTAACCATCAGAATTTTATTTTGTGATGCTTGATATCTCCTGACTCTACTCCTTCAAAGCACTACTTACTTTGAGATTTTATTCTCATTCCCTTCAAATTTTCATGTGGATGTATTAAATAAGTTCATGACAGCGTACAACACTTGTGATAGATAACTCCATTTTCAATTACCAACTGTGACAATTTCATTTTCTAATCTTGGTTTCATATTTAGTGTGCTTTGTGCTTTACAACTCTATAAAATTCAAAATGATGATAGATATGGCGACTTTTGGAATAGGTGCTTCAAAGAAATACCTATATCGGCCAATAGCAGGCTTGTCAGTTCCATGTTCAACCAGCGAAAAACCAGCGCAAGGATGCTGGTCTACTCTTGAACCTTCATCTTTTAAGCTTCGTGGGGAGAGCTATTTCAGGCATGAATAGTTCATGTATTTTTGAATGCTTATAATTCAGTCTAAAACTTTTTTTCCTTTTTTTTATTGTTGTTGGTTTTGGTAAGCTATATAATGTTCTTACTCAGAGATAAGAAAAAATCGCCTGCTCCACATCATACCCCATACACTCCAATCGGTATAGATTTGTTTTCATGCCAACGTAAAGTAAATCACATTGCTCAGCACATTGAGCTTCCCTCTATTAAGGCACAGGAGAAAGTGCCCTCTCTGCTGGTTGTCAATATTCAGGTATCTTTCACATTTCTTATGGCTAACTTGTTTGGTTTCATCTTAAAACTTTCCTCAAACTTGACAGCTTCCTACTTATCCTGCTGCTATGTTCCTCGGTGATGGCGATGGTGAAGGGATGAGTCTTGTACTGTACTTCAAGATATCTGACAATTTCGACGAAGAAATTTCTCCCCAGTTCCAGGATAGCATTAGAGTAAGTTGCTTCAACATTTTTTCTTACAGTAGTATCACTGCTAGTCAATGTTCATTAGATTCCAGTTGTGCTCATGCTACACGATCCTCTGCAGCGATTTGTAAATGATGAAATAGAGAAGGTTAAAGGGTTTCCGATGGACTCAACCACTCCTTACAGAGAAAGACTTAAAATATTGGCTGGGTTAGCCAACCCTGAGGATCTCCAGTTGAATAGTGCGGAAAAGAAACTTGTCCATGCTTACAATGCGAAGCCGGTGCTTTCACGCCCTCAACACAATTTTTATCAGGTGCAGGATGACATACTAGCCTTTCTTTTACATTACATGTCGCATGCTAATGCTAGAATCGAGGAATGCAATTGGTACTAGATTCATATCAGCATACCGGTACATGGTATGCCAGCACATACTGGTAGAACGAGGAGGGGGAAAGGAGTTAAAGCAGAAGAAGGGGAGGAGGAGGAGATGGCGGCAGGTGGGAGGCTGGCAGCGGGTGGGTGATGGAGGATGAAGCGGGGAGGGCGATAGAGACCGCAGGAGGACCAGGGAGCGCTCATGAGTGCTTTGGGGGCTTTTAAGCTTGGAGTTTAGAAAAACAGGGAAAAAAAAGAGGATGAATCACCCAAAATGGGGTGGCCTGCCTTCCTATTCACGGCTGGATGGTACCAATTGGTCCGGATGAAATTGAAGTCCTTGGCTAGATTCCTGATGTCAAGTGTATCTCCTAGTTGAAAGTGAACAATTTTCTGTAGCTATGTCATCAAGATTTATAATTATCTAGTAATATTGGGTCGAACTTTTTCGACCATGATCTAGTCATATTATGGTTGCATGGTTATGGATTTTCTTTTTCTGTATACAGGGTTCGAATTACTTTGAAATTGACCTAGATGTTCACCGGTTTAGCTACATATCAAGAAAGGGATTTGAAGCATTTAGAGAACGATTGAAACATGGAATACTTGATCTGGGTTTAACGATTCAGGTACGAATGAATACTCAGTTTTTCCCTACTTGTCCTGCTTTGATATTGGCCTTCCTTTGATGCTGTTGTTGCAATGATGCTCTTGAAATCTTTATCCTTCACTCACCGTAGGGGTCTTTCTTCTGTTTGTTGCTCCAACTTGTTAGCTAGTTTGGCTAATCACGATCATGAATTTGACCTTGTTTATCGCATTGACTTGTGTGCATGTGAAATTGCAGGTTACATATTCATATTTTTAGCTCATTGCTTCATGTCACTCTTGCTGTAGTATAAATTTATTGCTGCACTCATTGGCAAAAAATCAATTTGGAACTACAAATGTATCATTTAGTTTTATGTAACGGAGAGGTAATCACGAAATAGAGAGGCGGAAACTTCAAATCTGATGACACTCCAGAATATACGTGAAATAGTGATGCGACTTACCATAGTACATTGCATGCCATGTTTCTACATTTAGCTCTGAATATGTCAAACGACTTTACCAATGTAAAATCGCTAGTTCGAGCATCAAGATCTTGGGATTTCTGAAAATTTTTCAGCAAATGAGTGTTTTCAGTGAGTTCATCTGATCAAAGAAATTGATGCAGGCACAGAAACAGGAGGAACTACCAGAGCATCTCCTGTGTTGTGTGAGGTTGAACAGAATCGATTTCATCAACCATGGGCAGATTCCAGCACTCATGACGGTCGACCACGACATGTAGCTGGTTTGAGGATGTGGGTCAACCTTGGAAGCCAGTTGCCTAGCCGAGAAAGAAATCTAACAAGTCAAATGACCTCTGCAAAAACACTAGTGCTGTGCAATGGCTGGCCAATTAATTGAGAGCCCAAACACAAGAGTTGCATTGGCATCAACTGATTCACACTGGCCAATGGCATTCATGCTTGGAAAAAGAAAGAGAGCCAAAGATGTGGTCTAACAAAACCTTAAAAGGAATGGTTTATGATGAGATTTATATCTGATAGAAGCCACAACTCCATCTTAAACATGTGTTGATAATCAATCTTGTTGAGGAGATGAGTAGTACTCCTGATATTATCTAGTGAAAAGTGAAGACCAACTCTCAGTTTTTTTTAGTCTTCATTTAGCTAGACAAGTATTTGTCTTGCATAAAGTTGAAAGATCCATGTAGCAATCTGGATTTGTGTATGCAGGTGAAAGCCATAAGTTGGACACATGACAATATCTATCCCATCTTCCTATATTTCTTTTAGGAAAAAAGACAAAAATGTGGCTGCAAAAAAGATCATCTTGACCCATTTTGGTGTAATCTTGTCATCATCAAACAAACAATTATTATTTTGTTGTTGTTGTGGTTATTGTTATCATTATTATCAGACCAATATAGTTTGAAGGATCTTTTGTCAGGCTGGAGGCCGAGTTTTCCTCCTCTCCTCTCATGTCTTAGTCTTCCAATTCTTTCCCTCTTGTCTTTCTCTCTTCCGTCTCTTGTTTTCCCTTTGTATGGGATTCAGAAACTAGCAAAAGCTTGGAGTTTAGAGGAGCAGGAGAAGAAGGGAAGGGGAGGGCATGGCGAATAACTCCTTGCCCAGTTATGAAGCCTGTACACGGCCAGCCGACCCTTTCTCCGACGGCGTCTTCTATAACGAGCGACCCCTGTCCCATGCGTTGCCCCTCTTCTTGCTCCAGATAGTCATCATGGTCTTCACATCGTACGCCATCTACTTCTTCCTCCGCCGCTACAACCAACCCCGCGTCGTGTCTGACATGATCGTAAAACCCTGCCACCCTTCACTTTCTCTCCTCGAATGATTAGCGATGCAGGCGGCGTTTAATGTTTGGCTTACGTACGTACGTCGACTCGTGTCATCGTTGCAGAGCGGTGCTCTTTTAGGGCCGACTCTTCCGTACGTAGTGACTCGAGTGCTTACCTTCTTCCATTATCTCTTCGGCTTGGGCGGTGCGGCACCCGACTACGAGCACATCAGACAGCAGTACCTGGGTACGGTTTTCCGGGCGGAAGGGCTTTCGTTGATGCGCACCGCAGCAAGTTTCGGCATCCAGATGCACTTCTTCTTTGTCTGTGTGAAGATGAAACCCGGCCACCTGAAGCGGTGCGGGAAGAAGGCCTTCGCCATCGCCATCTCCAGTGTGGTCGTGCCCTACCTCCTCCTTAACGAGCTCAAAAAGGTGTTCAAGATCCAAGACGACTACATGATAGAGGGCATCGGCTATTATACATGCCTTGACTACATCAACATGATCACTTCCATCAGCTCGTTCCCTGTGGTGGGCAGCATCCTGGCGGAGCTCCGACTGCTCAATACCGAGCTCGGTCGCCTCACCATGTCGGCGTCCCTGATCGCTGACCTGGGCAGCAGTTTCTACATCGTCGTCTACACCATAGTGACGGTGTCCAGAAACCTGAGCATGGGTGTGCTGGAAGCAGCAAGCAAGATGGTCGGCTATGTCATCTTGGTAGCTTTCCTTTTCTTTGTGTTCCAGCCATGGATACGGTGGATCGTACGTCGGACCCCCAAGGGTGGCCGCGTCTGGGAGGGCCACGTCATAATGGTGATTCTCGCCGTGATCGCCATGGGCGCCTTCAGCGACTCCTACCTGTCATCCCACTGGGAAGCGTCCGTCTACTTGGGGCTGTTGGTGCCCGACGGGCCACCGCTGGGGACGGCGCTCATCGAACGAGGGGAGTTCATCCCCGCCGAGTTGCTCATACCCCTCACCTACCTCATCGCAGGCAGGTGGATCGATTTTACCACCGTCACACAGCCCAAGATGTCTGTGGCGCTGCTGCTGTACATGTTTGCAGGCTACACCGTCAAGACCCTGTCCGCAATGGTGCCGGCCATATACTTCAACATGCCGATTCGCAATGCTGCCCTGATGGGCCTCATGCTCAACTTCACCGGCCTCGTCCAGATCGCCAACTACATGGGCTTAGCAGACGCATACAGCGGCACTCCCGTACGTCCACAACCCTCCCTCGTTGCTCATCTCTTCGACTTGACTGCCCTCTGTTCTGCTCACGACCTACTTTCTGCACGATCTACGAGCTCATCATCGCTCACCTCACCTCCTCTTGGCTGATGCGGCTGTGCCTGTGTACCGCAGATTATGAATCAGCAGGCTTATGCGGTTCTCATCGTTTCTGGTGTCTGTATAACGGCGATAAGCTCGTCGTTGGTGGCCATCTTCTACGACCCCTTGAGCTCCGACCACGTAATGGGCTGTCGAACGGTGCAGCACCTCATGCCGCAGGCGGAGCTTCGCCTGGTGGCGCCGGTGCTCAACGAGGAGCCCGTCCCGCACATTCTCAACCTCCTGGAGGCGTCCTCCGCCGACGAGCAGACCCCCATCTGCGTCTACGTCCTCCACCTCGTGGAGCTCATGGGCCGGGCCACCTCCACCATCATCGCTCACAAGAACCGCAAGGGGCAGCTGGACGCGCACCAGATGGACCGCCTCCACAACGTCTTCATCAACTACGAGCAGACGAAGAAGGGGATCGTCGCCGTCCAGCCGTTCACCGCGGTCTCCCCCTACAAGAGCATGCAGCACGACATCTGCTCGCTCTCCGTGGAAAAGAACGTTCACTTCGTTGTTGTCCCGTATCCGAGGAAGGAGTTGGGGGCCAATGCGGAACTCTATCAAGCCACTCGCAGCATCATCTCCAATGTCCTCACTCAGGTGGGCGCAAACCTTTCGATCGATGGTTTGTTTGATGAGCTGCAAGTTCTGGCCGGAGCATGATGATGATTCGTGATTTGCATCTGCAGGCTCCCTGCTCCGTCGGCATCCTCGTCCACCACGCCCTCGCCGGCTTCGGGCAAATCGTGCCGGGGCAGTTCCAGTACCACGTCAAGATCCTGTTCTGGGGCGGCGCCGACGACCGGGAAGCTCTGTCGTGCGGCGCGCGCATGGCACTGCACGCCGGCGTCAGCGTCGACGTCACCCGGGTTCTCCCGCCGACGGAGCGCAACAGAGACAAGGACGTCATCTGCGACGAGGAGCTCCTCCGGGAGTTCCAGATCAACAACGCCGACAATGAGCGGGTGGCGATCGAGGAGGTGGTGGTGAGCAACGTGGAAGAGACCATCGGCCTCATCAAGTCCATCGATAAGGCGTACGACCTCGTGCTGGTGGGGCGGCGGCAGGGGTCTAGTTCGTGGTTGGGTGAAGTAATGGACGAGTGGATCGAGTCGCCGGAGCTGGGGATGGTGGGGGATATGTTAGCCTCCTCGGAATTCACCGATTCCTGCTTCTCCGTTCTTGTAGTCCAACAATATGTTTGACGGAAAACAAGCTAATCACTGCATGCACGTAAAGATCGAAATCATCCATCTCTATGTTCAGAACATTCATCACTGGATGCCTTGTGCAGTTGAATCAATCACATAAATATGCAGTAATTTAACATCCATCCAACCAAGAATTTGAATCGCAGAGAGCAAAAAATGTTATTTGCGTACTTCTGTTTTCATATGCTGTATAACAAGCAAAAAGAGATGATGTAAAATGAGATAAACATGTACACATATAACCCACTTGTAAGTGGTTATCTCAAAGATTATGTAAACTGGTTCAGGAAAAAATTGCCAGTATAATAATTTATCGGCTATGAGAGATATTGGTGCTTTTTGCCTCTTCATCACCCCACAAGAAGTAGGATCTGACCAAAAGAAATGTGTAAATAATGAATGATGTTCTACATGGAATGAATGATTTTTTGCATCCAACTCCAAGAAGGAGACATGGTCAGCATTTTGGGAAGGGAGCACAAGGTTGTGGTTCCAGAAGTTGCATCACCATGCATTTTCATGAAATGGTCGCCCTAGTCAGGCAATCCGGGCTTCTTAGATGGAAAACTGCCTCTAAACCTTCATTGCCAGGTCGTAAAATGAAAGGATGTTTTCCACTAATAGCAATATAATGATTAACCATTCCATGTGATCACTTTTTCTGTTCTGGAGGACTTCTTGAAGGAAATGGATGTTGTGCTGCAAAGACAACCAGAGATTATTAGTAAAAGTGCACATTCGACAATAGCGGGATCTGATTAGTCTGAAAAATGGAATGTGTATCGGTTGAAAACAAACATTAAAATGATCAGGGCACATGCCACGACAATTTGATTGGAGCAGTCATCTCGCCCAGACACTTGACTAGGAGATGAGTTCTTCCAATTAAAACCAGAATAGATGGTATAGAAAGTAGAAAAGATGGTACCTCCACAAATTTCAGTTTAAAATCGAGGTTTCCGATACGTTGTGCCAGTTCGTATTCTTCTCTTAGATACTCCAGAATTTGGGCATAATTCGCATTTTTCCAAGCAATTTCGGACCTGAAAAAAAAAGGTCATGTAATACTACCACATGCTTGAGCATAAGAAAAATAAGTATACTGAACCGGCACTGAAGCAACCAATTCGGCAACCTACATGTTTAACTTAGTTTACTGATTATAGGTGATCAACTAAGGGTTTGAAATGCAAAGGTAATTAGATCTGGCATTCATTTTCCCTAAAATTTTAAAAACAAATATTGCCCTCTCAATCTGAAAATGAAATTTGCTAAAAGATTGCTAGACACCAGCATGCAATTCCAACAATATGTATGTAT